ATTAAATAAGACTATTTAAATGCAATAAGTTATCATAATCAAAAGTGGTTCAATCTTTAGGGGATTTAACTAAATTAACCATACAAATCAAGTTAAAGTTAAACAAATATAATAGGAAATGCAATGTAAAGGAGAGAGTAAAATTGGACTTTGCTCATGTATTGGGTTATAGGTCCACTCTTCCACCTATCCTAAATATTATTAAGGCTGCATCATTTGGGCCCTTTTTCAGCCCACTTTCATTCTGAAATGTGTCCATTTTAGTCCTCTTTTGGACGGTTGTTGCACCTGGGCCTTTTTAGCCTATTTTTGCCCATGTATCACTTTGTATACATAAGTATATACTAGTGTATATCAGCATGTATATCAGTCCTTTTCTGCATTTTTTTGCTTCTGTTTGCCCTGTATTTTAACTTTGCAGCAACTTTAACAAGATGGAGTTGACTCAAAGAAATTCAACTCGAAGATATGCAAAGAGGGGAGTCCAAAAGGGACTCGGATTGATGCACATACAAAAAAAATTGAATCAACATTAGCCAAGTCGCATGTAAAAAAGAAGTAAAAATCACATAAGAATCAAATTTATTCCAAAGCTAACAATGGTGTTTTAAATTACCAAATAATAGAACATCCCATTGTATCTATCATAAGGATGGTAAATAAGAGACAATAAAATAAAATACGATGAAATAATGATAATAAAATCTTGTGCAAATGAGATACAATTAATATTAACAAGGCATGACCAACTGCACGCGCTAGACAATTCCTGACCATATGCAAATAAAAGCATTGGCAAATCTTTTCAACGAAAGCAACTATGATAAGAGAAGAACAATTTGTATCAAAATTAATCAACCTGATACATGTTTGAACTAACTAAGTTACACATCGACAAGATGTTCTAAATAACATCATTTTTCCGAACAATGAATTTAAATAAGCATTTTCAGGACATTTTGACACTAACAAATTGAAACAGAGAAGTTAAGACTGTCTCATTATACACAAACTCATATTAATATTTTAAGCAAAAATTGCATATTCTGAAAAAGAAAAGACATACATTAATACTTGGATACAATTCTAAGGGATATTTTAACAAAAGAAACAATCACGATTTCAAGAAATTAGTTAATCTAGCTAAAACTACTACTCAAAATAAACAAACAAGAACATTTATCTTCATTGAGGGGTAAAAGGGTGTGAAGCAAAACACATTCTCATTCTCAAACAAAGCAACAATAAACGGTGAGAGAAGATGGCATTGTATCATAAAATTAGCTATTATTGTATCCTAATTCACGTATTACAGCACTAAGGGGTCGTTTGGTAGAGTGTATTAGAAAAAATAATACATGCATTAGCCTTGTGTATTATTAGTACCTTGTTTGGTACTCTTTTCCAATGTATGCATAACTAATGCACATCCTATTGTGTATTAAGGTGTGTATTGTTAATACCATGGATTTCTAGGTATTAGCAATGCAATAGTTTTAATGCATGCATTAACATGATTAAAGACTCAATTGTCCCTCAAAACCTTTTTTACATCTTTTCTACCATAATAGTGGAGGGTATCTTCGTAATTAATTAAATATGCAATGCATGCTATTTTTTAATGCATCAAACCAAACAATAAATAAAAATAATTTATGTATAACAAATGCAATCATAACTAATACCTGCATTGCTAATGCAAGCATTACTAATACACTTTTTTTAACATTATTCTTATGCACACTACCAAACGATCCCTAATAGAGTTCAAACCGAAAGAAACAGATATAGACATACAACTGCTTCACCAAACAGAGAACAAATTAACTACAATAAAAATGAAATAAGAGAAAATAAGGTGCTACCTTTTTCGGAGCAGGGAGACCACCACGAGCTTGACCTCTTAAGCAGAAAAGACACAAAATTTTAAAAGAGAACATAGCCTTTGGTTCCAAAAAAATCTTTCGATTTCTTCAATAAAATTGCCTTTTCTGGATATGAATTTTGTGTGTGTTTTTTTAGAGTTATAAACAATAGTTAAGATCCATTTTTTGGTCCCCAAAATCCTCCGCCTCAACAGTAAAATCGAGGGGTATTTATAAGGGGAGATTTAGGGCAGAAAGAGGGGGAAACCAAGGGATTCGAATTCAAAATTCAAAATTCCAAAGAATAAGGGACGAGCTGGAATTGTACGAATTCTCAACGGATTTGAGAGAAGGACCACTGATTTAGAGTGGAAGGACAAACGAGCAAGGAGATGGGACACATTGGATGATTCTCCAACGTTTCTTGCACAAACGGATAAGGACGACGGATATGGACGCGCGCTAGACTCGGTTCTGATTTGCTAGGTTGCTGCTCGCAATTCTGGGGCTTCTGGAATCTGGGTTTCGCAGCAGAGAAGACGAAGTTGAGGAGGTGGGGTCGCGTTGTATCGTTGGTGTATTGATGTACGTATTATTGATGTTGTTGGGTTATTTGGAATTGAATTGGAATGGGTTTGCTGATGGTATTTTGTGTATTGGGTTTGTTTAGTTTGACAAGTGGGCTGCTGGAAATGGCACTAAAAAGCCTAAAATTGGCTCTCCAAACGGGTTTAAGGTGAGGTAATGAAAGAGGGTAGATTGGAATGGAGAAATTGACCCATTGGATTGCAATTATTGCCATTGAATTAAGGACTTAGCCAAATTGAGATAATTAGTAAAATCGACTAATAATTAAAAAAGATGAATTTCTTAATCTTAACGAAATAAAATAATCAACTTAAATATAAATTAATTAATTCAAAAATATTAACTATTAATTAACTAAACTAATTGACAAAATTCTAAATAAAACTAAAAAAAAAATTCACGATTTTTGAATATTCATAAATATACTAATTATATACATAATTATATAAAACACACATATTATTTAAAAAATATAAAAAGTGACTAAAATCACTTTAAAAACTTGAATTTTTATAAAACTAATTATTCCAAATCATTTGAAATTGAAAAGACTCGATTATTAATCTATATTGTGGATGTCCAAAATTGGGTGTCAACAAGTATACTAAATTATTTTTCAATTTGGTAGTAATATATTTCTTTTTCAAGGTAATTTTGTTCTATCCAATTTATAAGTTGTCATAGGAAATTATTTTTAAAGACTATTTTCTTGAATTTAAAATAATTTACAAAAATTCAAATTGAATAAAATTTCAATGAAGTAATAAAATTGCAAAAGGGAAAGAAAAAGAGAAGAAGATGGGATGATAAATCCCATCTAGATACTAACTATAAATCCAATTACTATATGCCACCAAAATATTTAAAAAGATTGGAAACATCTATCATAAAATATAGGTGAAATGGTCTGGTGGACCCTTATACTTGTATGTGTTTGTATTGTGAACCCTTCTACTTGCCCTTTTGTCATCTGAACCCCTGAACTTATCAAAACACAATATTTTAAACACTATTTTTGACTTGGCATCCTATGTGGCAATGAATATCAAAGAGTGTGTGACACACACCTATTAGGAGCGTGAGACCCTTGGAAAAGGGTCTAACAGTGACATTAGGGCTTTGTAAAGCCATCATCTTCCTATTTGCATCTAACACCATTGTTGGACAAAATTTGAGCTTTTCTTGGCCTCTTTTTTTATCTTTTTCCCCCAAATTTCTTCTCTATCGTTTCTTGTTATTATACAGCTCTTTTTTTTTAATGAAAAACGTCATGGAAGGCATAACACTACTACCAAAATATCTTACACTAACATTAGACACAAAAATGCAAAATCCCCAAAAAAAATCAACAAAATCAATGTAATCGACTAAAACCCCAAAACCAAACAAAGACACAAATAGAGATTAAATCCAAACTAAACAACAAATAAATTCGAAAATAAATTGAAAAACCTACCTAGATAAGTTGAAAATCAAACAAAAAATCTCAAATATATTTGACATTGACCCCTTCGTTTCAGCTCCAAACCAAACCCAAACTTATTGCCTTCTTCTCGTCCTCCTCACCTTCTCCGACCAAACTGCCTTCGTTCTCACCATCTCCGACAAGCTTCAACCAACAACTATAAATGAGAACCAACAACAACAACGACGACAAGAACCCCAAACTAACTCCGCCAATAAGTCTCGACTTTCACAACGCCGCCGGTTGTGAACAACTAGAAACAATCAAACCACCCAATAGACCCCCACTTTTCCTTAGCGCCACCGGTCACCACCAAAATCCCAATCCAACAGAACCCAAAAATCAACTTCGACGAGATTGTGAACAATCAGAAATCGTGCCAACATTTTTTACTTCAATGGAAAGAGTAGAAGAGGTTGGAAAAAGGAAAAGGGTAAGGAAGATAAGAAAAAGTTGAAATGAGATTGTGGGAATGGAGATGCAGATGACTATGACAAAGAGAAATAAAAATTGGAAAGAGAAAGTGCAGGTATATTAATCAAATATAATAAAAGGAAAAATGACATGGAGTGATCATATATACACGTGTCATTTTATAATTATTTTTAAAATTATGTGTCAGGCGTTTGTGATACACACACATTTGAGTAGTAAAAAACGTGTTTAAAATATTGTGTTTTGATGAGTTCAAGAGTTCAGATGACAAAGGAACAAGTAGAAGGATTCACAATACAAACACATACAAGTATGAGGATCCATCGGATCATTTCGCCTAAAATATATAATATAAAAATTTAGAAGATACTGTAAAATAGTAGTAGTTGTTAATTTAAGTAGCCACCCTGGACGTCTATAATGCCTAGCCTGAGCGGTGACCCAATCCGTTGTTGCGTTTGAGCAAGTCAATTTGACGCGTAAGGGGACGTGGCCTTCCTAGTGTTAAATGACATAATTATCCATTGACTGTTTGACGAATTTGAACTAGCAAATGGGTAAATCTGTCAAGTAAAAAATAAAAAAGATGCTTTTTATTTTTAGAGAGAGGAGAGGGGCAGGGGTTGAAGGAAGAAGAAAGAATAGAAAACGGCATTGTTATAATAATATTCTACAACTACTACTCTCTGGCAATTAACCAGTTAAGCAAACCCTTTCATCACAAAAACAAAACCTGCTCTCTGCCAATTTGAAAATCAGAAGCAATATTTTGCTGTTCTAGGTTTATTGGAGTGAAAGTTGATCTGTAAATCAACACACAAGATGTGGGGTATTTCTAGATGTTGTGAGAAAATTTACACCGTTACGGAAGGGGGATCTAGTTATTGTTCCAAGAAAAAGGATGATTTGTGTAATCAGGTAACAGATTTCTTCAAATCCTTTCTACATCTTGCTTAGACAGGAAGAAAGAAACTTTTCAACTATTGCGGCTTTATATATGAAACTTTATCATCTTTAGTTGGTCCATTGGAAACTGAAATCAAATTGATGTATGATCTGATTCTAGATTTTATGATCAGTAAGTATACCCAACATAAATTTTCAAAATTAGTTTCACAGGCCTATTTGCTTGTTGTATGTTAAACGAAACTTACTGATCTTGAGAAAAATTCCCGTGTCGTCTTTTGTGATTCTCTGTATTTCTATTGCTTTTCAGTTTGAATATATCTAACCGTCTACATCAAGTATTTTATTTTGCCTTTTTAATTCAAGTCCTTTTGCTTGTAGTTGATATTTGCTATGTTTGATTTTACATAATAATAATAATAATAGGAACAATAATAGAGCTTGTAATAATGTGTGTATCTCTAACAAGAGATCCTATTGAATGCAGGATACTGGACGAGCCTCGAGTATGTCGAGACTAAAATGTATTTTGCGTGGCTTGGATCTTAAAACATATATCTTTCTCTTTGTCTTGATACCAACATGTGTCTGGGGTATATACGTCCATGGCCAGAAAATCACCTACTTTCTACGCCCTTTATGGGAAAAACCACCAAAACCATTTAATGAAATGCCTCACTATTATCATGAGAATGTATCAATGGAGAATCTCTGTAAACTTCATGGCTGGGGAATCCGTGAGTACCCGAGGCATGTCTTTGATGCAGTGTTGTTTAATAATGAGGTTGACATGCTTACCATACGGTGGAAGGAGTTATACCCTTATATTACAGAGTTTGTTCTACTTGAATCAAATTCAACCTTCACTGGATTGCCAAAGCCTTCTTACTTTGCTAATCACAGAGGAGAGTTTGAATTTGTTGAGTCAAGATTGACGTATGGACAAATTCCTGGAAGATTTAGAAGAGGAGAAAACCCTTTTGTTGAGGAGGCCTATCAGAGGCTTGCATTGGATTATCTTCTCAAACAAGCAGGTATTCAGGATGATGACTTACTGATAATGTCCGATGTTGATGAGATACCTAGTAGACATACCATCAATCTTTTGAGGTGGTGTGATGATGTACCTTCAGTTCTTCATCTTCGATTGAAGAATTATCTTTACTCCTTTGAATTTCTCGTTGATAATGATAGCTGGAGAGCTTCTGTGCATCGCTACCAATCGGGTAAGACAAGGTATGCTCATTACAGACAGTCGGACACCATCTTGGCAGACGCAGGGTGGCATTGTAGCTTTTGTTTCCGCCGCATAAGTGAATTTATATTTAAGATGAAAGCCTACAGCCATTTTGACAGGGTCAGATTTTCTCATTTTCTCAACCCTAAGAGAGTCCAAAGGGTTATCTGTAATGGGGATGATTTATTTGATATGCTACCGGAGGAGTATACATTCAGGGAAATCATTGGCAAAATGGGACCAATTCCCCACTCTTATTCAGCTGTTCACCTACCGGCATATCTTTTGGAAAATGCAGACAAGTATAAGTTTCTTTTGCCAGGTAATTGCTTGAGAGAAAGTGGGTGATCTAGCTAGCAGGTTTTTGTTATATTTTCTTTTTGGTGAATGTCAAGGATGCAGTTCTTCGTTGCTCCTTACAAATCAAATGACAATCCTGCGGAATGTCCATGACTTCCTATCATACTGCAGAAACGTTTGGAATGTTTTGAATGAATACATCAGATTTGGGAAGTCAGATGATTTTTGTATATAGCTTCTTAGATATCGTTTTCTCAGGACAAAAAGGGTGTTTGCTGGCAGAAGTGCTATTAGTTCGAAACTCTGTATGTCATAGTATATTAATTCCTGATTATGCGACTTTCCTCTTGTTGGGAAATTTTGGACCAGTACTAATTTATTCACATTTCTTGTGTTCCTTATTTTTCTGACTTTGTACCTTTATATCACCGAGTATAAGTGTTAAGACCAGAAATCTGTCCCTTTGTTAATTGGTTTGATTGGATTGATTTAACCAGGTTTCTAGTATGCATTGAGTTGGTATTTTTTTATCTAAGATAGTGAGTGAATGGTGATTATTCCATCACACGTGTATATACACTTTGATTCTCTTGTGTTTAACAAAAAGAAGTTTGTTTATAAGTAAATGCTGATTGTTGAGGAGGAATTTCTATATATTAGTTGTGCTATTCAATGGCTGCTGCCACCAAGATTGAGTGCATGAAGCATGACCCCCTCACTTTGGGGATCTGTGTGTATGAAATTAAACTCATAGGCGGCCCTTGTGTTCTAGATTCGCATAGGTACAAAGATTGAGTGAATGAAGCAAGCCTCACTTTGGCGATCTATCTGTGTATATGAAATTAAATAAATAGGCGGCCCTTGTGTTCTAGATTCGCATAGGTACAAAGATTGAGTGAATGAAGCAAGCCTCACTTTGGCGATCTATCTGTGTATATGAGCCCTTGTGTTCTAGATTCGCATAGGTAAGGGGTTAAACTACTCTTTTCAATTGTATGCTATGCGATTGAATCCATCTCCAACCCATAGGGATGGCAATGGGGCGGGGTGTGTTGAGCTTACCTGCAAAAAAATTAATCCTCCTCCTGTATAACATTTTTTCTTATTTTCAAACCGCCCCACCCCGCCCCGCATAGACCCGCACCGCAAGAATCCACCCCAAATAATTTTTTTAATATTTTCTTTTTCTAGTTAAGTTTGATACTAAAAATAAAATTCATAAAAATAAATTCATTTTCATTAAGTTGTATTAATTTTATAGGATAGTGACTTAAAATTTTATTTTTTAGAGGTCAATTGGGAAACATATAAGAAATTGAATTATTTTTTATCGAACCATTTTCATTTGCTATCTTGAATATTTTAGTAGCTTTAATGAAATTTCTTAATAAATAATGTTTTATCACTCTTATAACATATAAAAACTTAAAATTAAGTTTAAACCACATAAAATCAAATATACCCGCAACCTTCCCCGCCCCGCATTAGTTTTTAAAAAAATCTAATTCAACCTGCCCCGCATCCCATCCGCCCCGCACAACCTTAAACCCACCCCGTCCCGCATAGCCTTAAACCCGCCCCACCCCGTCCTGCATCCGCTCCATCCCATTGCCATCCCTATCAACCCATTTCTATTTTACCCCCATTCTCTAAATTCATCTCTATTTTACTCTCCATTCTCTATATTTTGAGGGTAAAATAGAGAATGTCTTCACTAACTCACCTCCATATTACTCTCTATACTTCATTTATACAGGATGTGAATAGTAGTTCTCCAAATTTGGAAAACTATAATTCAATTATGTATTTCACTTTTTGATTAATTTAATATTTTTTATATTATATCATTAATTAAATAATGTGTAATTATTTTCTCATGTAATAAAACGTCTAAAAATATATTATTGACAAGTTACTACTTTCAACCGAATTAATAATTTTTTATTTTATTTTTAAAAAAAATTGTCACTTTAAATATGTAATTTAATATTATTTATATTATATAAAACTATTAATTAAGTTTTTAATATTTGTATTTATTTTTTAAGTAATATACCATCTAAAAACATATTATTGATAAGTATACTACATTCATCCCGAATTAACAATTTTTTCAATTTAATTTTTTAAATTTTTTGATCTTCCATTATGAAAAATGCACAAAATTTACATGATAATTCAAACAATCTACTTTTATGTTATAGTGATAAATTATTAAACTACACTTTTTAACGAGCATGAAAATACTTATTACATAGTTCAAAATGGAATAGGGGGAGTAAATTACAATGCAAACTAATTGGACACAAGATGAAATTGTTATTTTAAACAATTTTTAGCTATATGTATATGAAAAAAATAAGGACAAAAAATTACTCATTTTGACGTAATGCATTAATTGAGAATTTATGAAAGCAACGTAATAGTCTTGAAATTTGAGTATTTATGTAAAAGTTAGAATAAATTTTACGACGATGCACTATTTATTATGTAATAGTATTTTATCATTGATTTCAGTTTTATTTGAATTGTTCGTTAATATGTATTATATATAATATTTGTTGCAATTTATATATGTTATTTAGAATTTAGGATAAAATCTAATTTTATATTAAATGGAAAATTTGAAAAGAATAAAATTTTATATGACATGAACATTATATAGATTATAGGGTGAATATTTGCCAAAAGAAGAAATGGTTTATTTTATGAAACAAGAAAATAAGAATGAAATAGAAATAATAATATAATTTTGAGGAGAGAAAAAACGATTTTTTTTTAGAGAATTTGATTGAAGTTGGCTGTCTGAGAAAATAGAGAACTCTATAGTTGGAGAGTAATAGAGAGGGTAAGGTTTGAGCTGCCCTTAAAGATGGTGAAATTTCAACCATTTTGTCGAACCTGTAACAACCCTCTCTGAATGATGCTACTACTTAACAAAAACGCTAATATAATACTTGCACATTTAAAAGGGATTAATCTAAGATATATAAATTATAATTCAATAGAGGAATTTAGCCCAAAATAAAAAGTGAAAGGTATAAAGGCTTGTCATTTAGAAATTTAGTTGATCTCAAATTTAAACAAGACAAGAGTCCCAATTTATGGCAGAAGAATCTTTCAAAATAATTTAAAAATACGCTAAGAGAGTTTCATGTATTATCTATACTACTACAAGACACGTTATAAATCATTACCAACTTCGGGGTACCGAAGCTTGAATGGTTCATGCTTCATATAAACCTTTGAAATAAACTGTAAATTTAATACATTAAAAGAGTTGGGTTTACACACCCCAAACAGTAAAACATGTAGTCATATTTTACAACCCATGGTGACATGATCAAATTAGCCTTAAAAATTTAATGTGAATGTATAACATATAGATCATGTACAAGTCCCAAGATTTATGCAAACTATAGATGCCTATATGCAAATGTTATCTTCCCATAAAGCTTTCAAAATCTCCGTCCTCCAACGGCCAGCTTCAAGTATCCCCTCAAACGTTCCCTACGATAGAAGCAACTATCGCTAAGCATAAAGCTTAGTGGTGTAAAAACTATATGCGAGGAGCCGCTAGATTCACCAAGTTACCTTTCAAAAGTCATGGGCAGCACAATTGAAAATAATAAATAAATCAAGTAAACGAAATATCAAAGGTATCAAGTTCTATATTTAAAGATCCAACTGTCAAGAACGCTCATAACACCATTTCCCAAAAGATCCAATATCAAGGCTTGCCCAATATATACATCATACCGTCACACCCAACATAATCAAGTATCAAGAAGGATCGAAGCCCTGTATCAAGAAGGGTCAAAGCCTAAAAATCAAGAGAATCGAGAGCCATATTAAAAATGGCTTCGTAGTTCATACTTAAAATGGACAACTTCCATACTTAAGAGGAGCCACAAATCCAGAGTCAAGATGGCCAATGATCCGAATCAATAGGCATGCCAGTAGTGACAAAATCAAATACACAAGAAGGACAAAGTCCCAACAAGAATGCCAGGCGATCAAGCAATCAGTACTAGTGGGCGAGTTACACAAGTGTCTTGAAAGTCTCAGAGAATACCAATATGATAATACAACGTGACAAGAAGTAACCAAGGTATCGAGATAACCCTTCAAATAAACAAGAAGATAAAAGGAGTACAAGTACAAGTTTATACACAAACCTCGGGCTTTAGCATAGAAACAGTCCAACAAAACTTCAAGAGTTCAGTATCAAGGTCCTCAACTTATACACGAGTATATATATCCTTAAAAATACAATTAAATAACTTTTTTATCATGTGCTAGCTGAATAATGTTGACGTAAAATAGGATCATCATCACAAGTAAGCCTAGCATGTACCAAAACAGTGAATCTGTCCAGCCTGGTTCCTCAAGTCGCAACTTAGTTTTGAAGAGGAAAATGGAAAAACTGGACTTTATATCCTTCATGAAAGATGTAGTTATATCTCTTAAAGATGCGAATAATCAAGAATCATCGCAAAATGCGTTTTGTACAAAAATATATATTTAAAACACTAACAGTTGAAAATACAGGATTTCTAAATCAGAAATCTCGACAGAACTTGTCCTATGTTGCGTCCCTTATTTCGAATCGATAACAACAAACTTAAGATTTTACATAAACACAAGAGTTGTAGGTATATGAATTAGCTTTCCAAATCATATTTATTCACCAAAAAGGGAGTTCTAGAGGACGAGATATTTTAAAAGTACTAAACACTACTCAGGTCAAAAACAAATTTCGATTACTCACCAAAAGGTAGGATGTGTCTTGATTTCCAACCAAAAAGACCATGGTTTTCTTGTGATTTTGTGAGTAATATGGCTAGGGAAAGTTCTTCAGGTTTCTTAGAGTTAAGTAACACGAATTCTTATAAAGGAGGTGTCAAAATATATGTTATAAAAGTGATGTTTGTCACTTAATAGATATAGCTGAAAGAAAAATTGGCTGCCTAAAAGTAAAAAGGTTGGCTGCCCAAAATGTATACATATATACCAATATGTATATACCTTACCTCCCTTTCAAGTTATAGGTAATTCTAATTAGTATATTACGTAAATACCCCAATACAATCCCTTAAATCATTGTTACGCAAATTTGCAAATATTACAAAATTTTGAGTTCCTAAATGAGAATAAAACATACTAAAGTAATTAAAGAATGGTGTATCGAAAAGCGAATATTGGTTTTAATAATTAGGGGTGTTACAACTCTCTCCCCCTCAAAGAAATTTCGTCTCGAAATTTACCTTATACTAGTCCCAAAACAAGTGTGGATACTGGGTCCTCATGTCTTCTTCTCGC